TGACATCCACTGATCAAAATAATTTGGTGAAAAATCCATTTTTTATGTTCTCAACATTTATATTTAATTTCATGCATAGTGAACATGAGTGTCAACTCTTAGACTTACTTGTTATTTGCAAAACAATAACTTGTTTCCATCTCTGTTCCCAATTTTAGTCATGGATTCTTTTTTAAAGCAATTTAACAACACACATAGGTAAAAAATTTGGATGTTTTTGACAATTTGTCATTTCTGCTTGTTATTTACAAGTCAATAACTTATTTTCATCTCTGATGCTAACATGCTAACAAGTACGCTACAGTGAGATTTTAGTTGTACAGTCTTTTTTAAAAGTAACTTAACAGCACATTTGAGGGAAATGTTGATATTCCTGACAATTTTGTCTTGGTTCCACTTGTTATTTGCAAAACAATAGCTAGTTTCCATCTTTGATGCTAAGATGCTAAAAAGTCCACTACAGTGAAATTTTAGTCATAGAGTCTTATTTTTAGTAATTTATCAGCACATCTGAGAGAAATGTTGATATTCTTAACAATTTGGTCTTGTTTCCACTGTCACTTATCCTTTACATTGCCCCTTATAATGTAAGACTTCACAGCTACGTGCTAGCTAGAGAAATCATAAGGCTCTGTCATTAGTTCTCTTTCCTGTGCAGCGTCCATATTTTCCTGTTGCTTAGCAACAGTGTTCTCATGACTTTATAGACTTAAGCTTGTGTTTTCACCAAGTAAGACATTTGTGATAATGTGTGTGTTCTCACAGAGGTAAAAAGACTGTGTGACATTGTGCGTGTGTGTGTGTGCGCGCGTTCCATTTCCTGCTTTTTGGATTATTTTTAACTTTTTTATTATGTTTCTCTCCTAATCTTAGTCAGATGGGGACAAAAGGGAAAAGAATTCAAGGGGAAGACTAAATGAATCCAATTTCACGGCAGTATTTAGGACATGCCCTCTTTTAGAAGCATGTCTACCTCATGTACTCTCACAAACTTTCTCTAATGGAGAACACAAGAATTAATGGAGAACTAATCGTTTGGCCTGTTCGAGTAATGACTATGTGTAGGTGCGTAGGTGAGCTGTGTTATGGATTAAAATACATTATCTGCATGTGTGTGTGTGTGTGTGTTTGTATACGTGTGTTAAAAGCTGTTTTAAATAAGTTAATGAAAGTTACGGGATGTAAGATTTAAGGATTTGTCCTGTGATGCAATGACAAATGTAGATTTACACTACGCAGCTGTAATAAAGGAATAAAACATGAAGGAAATGTGGTCATAGGAAAATAATCAACATGGTTCCTGTGGAGGTAACAGATTTTCCTGTCATTTTTTTCTTCCTTTTATACCACAGCAATTTGCCAGTGATTACTTTTGTTTTCTGTAATTAAAAAAAAAAAAAGAAAAACGGGATGTCATACTTTTTATCTGTTTGTAGTTTCTCAGATCTTGTCCCAGTTTTGAAAAGTTATAAATGTCTTAACTGTAGACAGACAGAGAGAGAGAGAGAGAGACAGAGAGACAGAGAGAGAGAGATTAAAATAATAATCACTCTACCACTTAGCAATGATTGTGGTGATGTGATGCTTTTAGGAAACACAGCATAACATGTAACTGTGCTCCATAACATGTAACTCTAAACTAATGAAATGTACATTGTGGTGTTCTATTATAAATTAAAAAAATTACTTCTTGGCAAATTGCTGCAGTATAAGTGGAACAAAACATGCTGTTATTGGAAAATAATCAACTCCATGGTGGTAACAGTACCTTCTCATCAGGCCACCCCACACCACTCTGTCGTTGATTCGTTTCCTATAACTGCAAGCCTCTGAGTGTTTTATTCCTTACATCTTTGCTCCCCAGTGGTAAACCTAGGTTAGATTTGTTCTAACTTTGATATGTTTGCAGTATCTACATTTTCCTACAGATCTGTTGTTGTACTGGATCATAACAGTCCATCTGTATGTGTATATGTGTAGTCTGATGATTCAGCACGTGTCAGTGGCTGGCTTTGTAGCGTGTTAGACAACACACACCTTCTCCATGAGCTGGCGGAGCTGGCGGCTGCGTGGGTCTCGATTACACATGTTCTGGGCCGGAGCCACCACCGTGCAGATACACTTCCCATCTGCATCCTGCGCTGAGCTGTAGATCTGCCAGCCTTCCTCCGGGCTCGGGTACAAGGCCTAGAGAGAAAGAGAGAGAGATGGAGAGAGAATGTAATCAAAAGCACCAGGGGAAACGGTGAGAGAGGGGAAGGGATGAAGTAAGGATGCATCTGTTTGTGAGTGGCGTAGTTCCTAATCAGTTTGGACACTCGGTGGAACAGGAGATGCTTGGAATCGATAGATCTGCTCTCTGCACAGGGAGTGTGTGAGAATAGATGCATCTCTTTTAGCCCTATTAGAAATGCTTGCCAGCAAACACACACAATCACAGCTATACATGACTTAGAAAGGCGATGGGAAGATGGGAATAAAACAGATTGAAAGGAAGCATCAGACTCTCTCTTACTCTCTCTCTCTACTCAGAAGGTCTACCTCGCTCACCCCCACTCTTTCTCCCCACATTGGATTAAAATGTCTTGGTGGACAGGATGCTATGTGATAAGGGTGTAAACTAGCTACCTCCCTATGTGCTAGCAAAGCTTTCTGTCACATCTTATTACCACCACTGACCCCACAACCATCTTCTTCATCTGTCCCCCTTCTCTCTCTCTCTCTTTCTCTCTCTCCCCATCAGTTTCCCTTTCTCTCACCTCCATCCATTTTCACCTTCCATTTCTGCTATCGTTTATTATCTGTGTGTCCTCTTCTGCCCCTTGCTATCTTTATTCTGTCTCCATTTCCCTCCCCTGTGGCTTTACCCTACTCATCTATTCAGGAGCATTTTCATCTGTGCACTCCGGGATCCCTATTTTCAGCACCAAGTTCTCCACCCCCAAAATAAACTTCACCTAAAATGACACTAAAGCTTAACAATCTAAAAATACAGTGCAAGGGTGTTCAGTGTCCTACTAGACTCAACACACACACACAAACACACACACACACATATATATACGACTATTTATCTTTTCCTGTTTGTGGTTCTTGCAGTGCTTGAGGCTATGCTAGACACTTTCTCTTTGATTCTTTATTTCCAGACTCCCCTGGGTGTGGCCATGTGGGAGGGCACAGGGTACCAGCTGCCACCCTTGAAACAAGCCTTGCCACACCAACTACCAGCCCATGCAGCCTTAATGAATCATATTTAGCTAATGTTGATGTAAATCATCATTGTAGCATTGTAGGTATTTTGACCAAAATCCTTAAATACACTTAAATATTAACTCCAGAACCTTTTGTCCCTCTGGAGGAACCCTTAAAGGTTATGTCTAGAAATGAACAGACAGCTTTTCCCTATCTGAAAGAGTTCCAAGTAGAAGTGCTTTAGGAAGCAAGGAAACTGTAAATTTCCAATGAAACCTTGAGGAACAGTTTTCTCAAGAGTGTGTTAGGAACTATAGAGCAGATGATGTTGACGTTAATTTTCTATAACAGCAGCTCTGTCAATAGTTCGGGTTTATATTAGTACAGTTGTGGTAATGTCATCATTTCTATAGTAACAACTTAAATAGGGACTTGTATGGGGGACGCTCCACAAAAATTTTTTTTTTCAAAATGTGTAATTGTTGATATGATAAACATCTCTGCACAGAAAACTTAGGTAATATTTATGTAAGGAGTCTCCAGTGTCAGTGCTTTGTAACAGTCAGAGGTAAAGCTGTAACTTTAACTTTTTTTCTGATGTAGGGGGAGTTTATGCTTTGTGGTTTCTCAGTAAAAGGAAAATAGAAGAAAATAGAGAAATAGAGAAAATAGAGACTGGTGAGGGAACGAATGTTTGTAGCTGTTATAACGTAAGTGATAAGAGGAGCTAACTTGTTTTGTGATGTTCTACAACAGTAAATGTAACTGTAAATGGATAAAAAGTATGACATGTCAAGTAAAACATTTGGAGACATGTTGTTATAGAAAAATGATCAACTTTGGGGTAGTAACAGTAACTCTTCATCACACCCCCAAGCGTTTTATTCCTTTCATATTTTGCACCAAGGATCAAACCAGATACTCTGCAAATGAAACATTATCCCATAAGTAATCCAGTTCGGTCACCAGTTAGTGTGCTCTTATCCCTGCCCCCTTTGTCACCTTGCGGTCTTCATTTCCTGTGTGCTCACTTAAGATTCATATGAACAATTATACAATAATGTAATAGGAATAGATATTATGCACTTGATGCACTGCACCAGCCAAACATTTTCTCATTTAGCTGATGCTTTTGTCCAAAGCCCAGCTGTAAGCAGGGTTTCTGCTACAGCCATTTGGATGATGGCCTTGTTCAAGGGGAGCAGAGGTAGTGGCATGCATGAGCTGGGACATTTTTACCCAAATTTCAACTAATTCTATTTATGTGAGTTGTTGCCAATTTCCACTACAGTATCTAGATCTCTTCTTGTCACATGATAGCTACCAACCAGGCAAGGTTAGAGCTAACACACGAACCCAGCCACTACTCTTATTCTTGCAATACGACACAGCAGCTTTACACAAATATGCTGTATACATGAGCTAACACACATCCACAATTAGCTAGCGTCATACTAATTGACAGACGAAACTCAGGTCATCCTTCCAACCATTAAAGGACTCCTTGCTATCCATAGATAGCCAAACTCATAGTCTTATGACAAGCCACTAAGACTAAGCCTTAGACAGTTGTGCCATTCAGGATCCTATCAGCTGAGATTTGAAACCTAAACCATAGATTATGTTCAGAGAACTTGAGATACCATCATCCAAAAGACATCCTTTTATTTTGAAAGAGGAGAGTGCCTCATACCAGTACTCACACTCATACGTCTCTTTCATCCTTAAGGCACAAGTAGCCTCAGAACTCAAAAAAGCCCTCTCTATGCCTCTCTGTCTCACTAGATTTATGTTTTTTACTCCCAGGGGGCACGGTGGCTTAGTGGTTAGCACTGTGGCCATGCACCTCTGGGGTTGTGGGTTTCAAATCCCGCCTCTGCTC